GCTTGTTAAACTTACTCGGTTCTATCTTGAAATAATCAAGGTGGAGGGTCTTAAGCTTGGGAAGAGAAACACCACGTTTCACATCAATGCTGACACCATCCTGAAACTATATCTTGAGCCTAACCAATGTATTGCTCTCAAAGATCTTAGAAGGGAGAGGATAAAAACTCGAGTTTTCACAACAATCACGAGACGAAGAAATGTATAGATCTAAAGCAAGCGGCTGATGCTTTTGATTCACGCAATCGATTTAGGTTTGTTCACGCTATTATCTATCCATCCCACTCAATTATGGGCTTCATTTGGGCCTTGACAACACAATATCTTTCTTCTTCTTCATATTCATCAAAAATGAATTTGGGAACATAGTAAATGAATCTGCAACTTTTTATATGTTTTCTATTGGAACTTGATCTTTTTTTTCTTTTTCACTAACTTGTGAAAAAATCTTCAAAGTTTTTTATCGCATCTTCTAAAGCATTTTTAAATATATTTGTTACATCTTAACTCATATAAATTAGAATTTGAATATTTCAGGTTTTAATTTAATATTACTACTAATTAAGTAAAAACTCGTGTTACGCCGCATGATATGTTTTATAAATTAATTTTTTTTAATATAAGTATGATTGGTTTAAAACAAAGACTTTTAGGATTTATTATTTTGTATTTTCTCATATTTTAAATTTAGTAGTATTTTATTTTACTAATTCTAATCTTGGAACCCATTTCAATAGATTTCTATATCTATATGACAAAACACTTGTCCAAACAGCTTCATTACTTGTAAGAAAGCTAAGCCTATAACGAAACAAAGATCCAGGTAATAAGGTTATCATATCTTCCCCTCTGCTAATTCCTAAATTTTCTTTAACGAACTTAATTACAAAATCTAACCTAAAATTAAATTTAAAAACTGATACAAGTATTACAACTATTCAAAATAGATACACGAGAATTAGAAAGTAAAGACTGAAAGATCAAAGAGGAATTGACAGGTTTTTCAAGCTTTTTATTTTTTTTCATTTCCAACAAGCTGAAATCATCCATTTAATATGATGTGGCAGATCTTAATTTGATGTGTAGTATTTGTAATCCTTTGATTGGTTTCTTGTTTTAATGATGTGTTAGCTTCTCATCACATAAAAAGGTTGATGTGTCAAAGTTAGAGTGAGTTTATTTTAGTTTAATTGTATTGATATTTTATTTTAGAAATTTATATAGTAACATATTTTTACAATATTTCTATGGAACTTTATTTGAAATATTTTACTTTAAACATCTTATAGGCGATTATCTCAATTTTTTCTGTAAGATATTGTTTAACAATATAGTCGGTCGTCATTATTAATTTTTTTCCAAGTTTTATCAAACAAATATCTTTACTAAAAACTTATTACATTTAGGAAATAAATCTTCTGAAAACCCTAAAATTCACAAAATATTGCTCCGCCTCCTATTTTTTCTCTTACTTTTCAAAACAACCAAAGCACATGACGACAATGTTCGAGGAAAGTCCTTAGTAATCTCGAGACGAGATATTCCGTGCTTTACTCAAAAAAGATAATAATCTCATATCATCGAACTCCTTCAATTTCTCATGTTGTTTTTGTTTCTCCGGTTGTAGAAGAAAGATGAACATGAAATTAGTTTCTGTAAAATTTTGGGATACCCAGATCTAGAACCGCATGATCCGTGAAACTGCTATCCGGATCTGCTGGATCCGTAAACTAACTATCTGGATCTGGATCCGTTAGATCCATAAAACAAATATCAAGATCTGGATCCACCAATATATGCAACTATCCATATCTGCAAAAAATAGATGAAAATTTTAAAATAATATTAACTATTATTTCAATAAATAAAAAGACTAACAAAAAATATCATATAAAATATTTAAATATCTGAATTTGGATCCATAAGCTTTGGACACCTATTTCTGGAATTATATCGAAACTCAGGTCCATGATATTTTTCATGTCCCATGTTATGGATAATCTTGCAAATTTCATTTTTCTATTGTATATAATATTTTTTGTTGAGCAATGTATTTAAGATTTTTTTAAAAAATGTTTGGGGTATAATTGGTAGGGCATTAGAAGATGTATAAAGCCAACAAAAAAGCTACAACCCCTATTGTAGCTTTCTTATTTTTTCTCACAGCCAAAATAATAATTTTATTATTATTTTGGCTGTAAGTACAATTTTTTAGAGTACAATTTTATTGTATTTAGGTGGGATGTACAATTTGTTTTCCTCTTTCCACTTTGTTTTTTTCTTTTGTTTTTTTTAAAAAAAAAATATTATAGTTTTCATCCATATATATTATGAAAAATTATTTTTGTGGATATAAGTAATCAGTAAAATAACTACTTTATGAAATATATATATATATATGAAATATATATAACTCTTTTTATTGGGTTATATATATATAACTTACATTGTTTCTTAAATACATCATATATATGTTATGTATATCATAATTTATAAAATTGATATTTGAGAATAATATTATATAACACATAAGTATGATTTACCAATTATATGTTTTGTTTAAAAATACATTATAAAACCCAAATTTTATTTCTAGAACCAATTTAATTATATTATACTTTATATTAGTAAAAAAATAATACCTGATTTCTAGAGAAATAAAACCTACAACTACAATCATCACACCTATAACAACGTTTCTATTGCAATAAATCTACCGATACAGACGAACCAATCACCCACTTTTTCAAAATATATAGAAACCAAATAGTATTTTATAGAAGAGTTTCACTAATTTTAGTTTATAAATTATACTATGACAGTTAAAGTGTATTTCATTGATGGTCTTCTTAATTAGAGACTCATCAATAAGAGTTTTAAAAAATTATGAAAAGTGAGGAGGGAGAGTAGGAAGACTCTCTTAAATAACAAACTCTAAAAATTCCAAATGACATTTTTAATTAAAAAAAATTATTAACATTAAAAACACTAATAGTTATATTAGTAAGAGACTCATAGAGGTGCTAGTGGTGGAGGCAAAAAATTTGTTTATAGGGATCATAATAATTTCTTACATTAATGTTTTTTATATAATTTCTAAAAGAAAAGTATTATCAAAACTTATTTCTCAAAACTGCACCATAGACTCATTCATATTTTCATTTTTTTTAACTGTTTTATTATTATTTTGCTTGTCTCTGTGTTTAGTACATTTTTAATAAAAAAAATAGATAATTAATTGAAAACATATCGACGATACGATTAAACGTAGTCGTTTTTCAATATATATAATAAAAAATATCTTCTAATTGTTATAGTCACAATTGAACAAATAAATCTAAGGAAAAAATATTTCTAACTACACTAAATATCAGAAAATGCATGATCATACATCCCAAGTATATTATTTTATCCTTACCTACACGAAGTAGATGTTTTGCATGGTCACATATTTGAGCTATACGATTTCATGTGGTTAACATCATATACATAAAATTCTGGTACTACGATAAATCTAGTCCGGTGAAGACAAGCATTGGCTGGTATTGATCAAAAAAAATATTTAAAAAACACTTATATTTATTTTAATATAAAAATAAAGTATAAAATAATTTAATATGGTGTTGTATAATCAAAAACACTTAATGCATTAATTCTTATAATAATTAGGTTTTCAATTTCAAAACTAAATAATAAAAATAATTCTAAACATTTTAAGATATTAAAATATAAACTAAAAGAAGAAAAATCTTGTTGTATTGGGTTTGATTCTAATGATTTTTACTTTAGAAAATAATTTTTGTGGTTGAAAAAATTAAAGAATTTTTTTTTTGTATATAAATAAACCAAACAAGAAAGTTAATATTTGTTTAATTTAAAATGTAAAAATAGGCAATTTCCTTACTTAAATGATCTTAATAAAAATTCCCGGTTTTAATTTAAATTTTTATCTCTTTAAAATTTATTAGTAGTTTTTATCACACATTTAGTTTAATTTTGAAAATGAAAACTAACTATTATAAGAATCAATACATTGAAATGAATATACAAAATTTAGAATTTGTTTTTTGATTATTAAATAAATAAATAATATTTTTTAATACTTTTTCTGGTCTATCCCGGCTTGTATTTGTTCTCGCCGGAGTCAAACCTTTGGTGTACCAGATTGTATGTTTATGGAACACCACATGACGTTGTATAGTTTAGACATGTGGTCATGCAAGTAAATCTACGTCATGTAGCTGAAGATACAATAGTATAGTTTGCATGTGTGAGCATACATTCTCGTATTCTATTATTTCATAATATATATATATATATATATATATATATATATATATATATATATATATATTTCTATTATTATTTTATTAAAAAGGGTGATGTTGAAGAACGGGAAGGTAAAGAAATATTCCGGTGACCAGAAGTAGTTCGCCAGCGACAAGTTCACGAAGAAACAACTTTTCTCCAGACTTGTCACGTGCCCATGTTTATCCTTTATTAAGACACGTGTCTATGAGTTGTATTGATATAAGCTTTTATCTGTGTTTTTAGTTTGTATTGAATCTTTAAATGGGCCTAGCTTTTGTGTAATGCCCTTTAGACTCTTTAATAAAATGAAATTTAACCACAAAAAATAAAGAATTTATTAATTGAATAGTTTTTTGTTGGACTAGTGATATCTTCATCTTGGATACATACTTTAAAAAATCCACGGTAACATCGTTAACTCCTCTTTGTTGCATCATCATGAACTTCTCCACCTAATCTAATTGATCTTGCAATTTTTTCCATGTGTAGTCCTCACTTGGTATCTCCAAAGGCGATCCTGTCACATATCTCATTGTAGCTTAGATCACTTGGAGCCAAATTTTCAACAAGTAACTCTCCTTAGTCCATGGTAATATTTGCAAAACGTCATTTGCTAGTCATGTCCAATGTTAATTTTAGCTCCTTATTAACTCCACAATATAAATACTAAGGAAATAACTTCCTTTTTGAATCCATGAGGGCAATCTTGAGTATAATCATTAATCCGTCCCCATGCTTCATGAAAACTTTCATTATTTTCTTCCTTAAACGCCATTATGTCACTTCTCACTTTGGTCGTTCTTTGCTTGGAGTAAAACTTGAGAAGGATGATCTTCTTACACGCATCCCAAGAACTGACCAAATGAGATGGTATAGTTTTCTCCCATTGGCTTGCTTTTTCTCTAAGAGAAAGAGGAAACAAAATGAGCTTGAAACTATCTTCAGGACTACCAACTTTAAACGTACTATACAACCTCTCAAAGAAATCCAAATGATCATAGGGGTTCTCGATTACTAGTCCCGATAACTTAAGAGATTTGAATCAATCTAATCAAACTTGTCTTGATTTCATAATCATTGGCTTCTCATGAGAAGGTCGGATTAAGAGAAAACAAATCAGTTGGTTGAAAATAAAACCAACGAAATGTACAACATGGACTCGTACAAAACCCATCATCTATACCGACGAAGACTAATTAATAAACATGATTTATTGGTTTAAATTTTAATTGATTTTGAATTATATAAGTGTATTTTAAAATAATAATTGATTTCTAATTATAAATCATTAAAAACGAAATCTTCAAATATTAACTCTTTTATGAGACATTAAACAAATAAGAAATTTTTTTTCTAATGTCCTTTTCATGATGCCCCTCTTCAACTCTACCCTTTTCTTTTATCCATTTTCATTTCTACCCTCTTTAAATTTTTAATGATCATTTTACCCTTATTTGGAAATTCTTTTAGGTTAACAAAATGAAATATTAATATTTTTTCGCCTAAAATATTCTAAAATAAATTTCTCGCCAAAATTTTGTTTTCAAAAATATTTTTCCTGCCAATTTTTTTTTTGCGGGAAATAGATTTACAAGGGATTTTAAAAGAGTTTTAAAAGATTTACAAGGGATTTTAAAGGTTTTTATAAGATTTACAAGGGATTTTAAAAGGGTCATTTACAATGGATTTTAAAAAGTTTTTAAAAGATTTACAAGGGATTTTAAAAGGGTTTTGACAGATTTACAAGAGATCTTAAAGAGATTTAAAAGATTTACAAAGGTATTTTAAAGATTTTTAAAGAGATTAAAATTGTTTTAAAAGGATTTTAAAATATTTACAAGAGATTTTAAAAGGGTTTTACAATATTTACAAGGGATTTTAAAGGGCTTTAAAAGATTTACAAAGGGTTTTTAAATATTTTTAAAGGGTTTAAAAGTATTTTGAAAGATTTACAAGGGATTTTAAAACCTTTTAAAATTACTTGTAAATTTTTTAAAATCCTTTTAAAATTCCTTGTAAATCTTTTAAAATCTCTTGTAAATTTTTTTAAACCATTTTAAAATCCTTTGTAAATCTTTTAAAACCTTTTTAAAATTCCTTGTAAATCTATTTCCCGCCAAAAAATATTTACAAGAATTTTTAAAATCATTTTTTTGGTTGAGAAAAAAATTGTTACGAAAAGGAATTTTTTTTTGGCGGGAATATTTTGTTTTTTGGCAGGAAAAAAGTTTGTCGGAAAAATGAATCTTTCAAAGACTTCATAGACGTATCTCAAGTTGAAGCCCTTATCACACGACTTTGGATCCGAAGTGTTACTAGGGCCAATTCTGCTCCGACACGTCCAATCCAAAAGCATGAACCGACCTTATCACCAAAGAAGCTCAACAAGGAAGAAACAGTCCCTGTTAAACCACCACCATTACGTGATAAGAAGTTTGCACAACTCATTGCTTGCTCCGCATCCTTAGGAGTAAAAAGTTGTTCATCTTTAAACTTCCTTCCCGACGTCTCGTTCATGACCGTGGTGGACATCAATTTCTCCATGAAACACTCATCCAATCTTTCACGTGTAAATCCTCAATCAACATGTCGGCTCGGTCACGTCATTCACCCAGCGTTCTTCCACGTGAACCATACCATAGTAAATGTTTCCATAAATCTACGAAGAAGCTGTTCGAGTGTGGAGTTAGTGGTTTCACTCACAGAAACATGAACTTTGTGGACAAAGTTCTTTTGGACAGTGGAGTATTGATAAGCACATAACCATAGTAAACCGGTGTCATAGAAAAGAGATGTTGTCTTGTTATGGCTCCTAAACTAATGGGATTGTATTCTCCACTCTCCACGTTTTTAGTAGTAGATGTAGTGGTTAGTTTCCTTCTTAATTTTGTGTATTTAAAGACATCAATGTCAAGTTAAGAAAGGAGACTTGAAAATTGACAAAACAGAGTTTAACTCTTTGGTTACTTGTTCTTATGTGTTCTTGTGTGAAACAAAACACATCTCTTTGAACGGCGCCACAGGATGTAACCGGAATGCCTCTTTCACACACGCTTTCACGTAGTTGAGATTTGGGAGGTCAGACTCAAGAACAAAATGGTATTTTACAACTACTCTATCGATCTCTTCCACAGCTTTTTGCATGATATTCGGCTCGTTAATCATCTCCGCTATCGCCCACTCCGCCGCATTTGACGGATTATCCACTGTAGCCAACATTAGTTCCTTCTTAAGTAACCACCAAAAAAAAATTAGAGGTCATCAGATAAAAAGTTTTTTCTTTTTTTTTTTGTAAAATAAATTTAAACATTTTGCTTGTGAAACATCTCTAATTCATGGAATTCAAAATTGAAAATATTTAGAGGTTCAATTTCCTAAAGAAACTCCACTTCATTTTAACATGATCTTTGAGGTTAGAGAGGTATTTTAACAGTTTTACCAATCCTAAGTATTACATTCATGGACAAATGATTTACATTGTGGTAGATTATAAAATATATATATATATATATATATATATATAAGCTAAGTCCATAATATGCATACCGTCACTTGTGCTTTGATCTCTTCTTCCGATAGAGTAGGCTTTCCGTTGGTGTCTTTGGCCATTATAAACATGTCGAGAAAATCTTGAGGCTCTTTCCGCTTCCCATTTCGCCATTGCATGAGTCTTTCATCGACGAAAGGATCGTTATACTTACTTACATTTCTCATTGCGTCAGCCACAACCTTCTCATGGCCTTCCAAGTCCAAGAACATTAACCACGGGACATAATCCGACAATGCAAAGGCGTAAAGATGAGTTAAAACCGTAAACAAAGATTCCACATGTTCAATCTCTTCGAACCCTGGTCCCGATTCATCTTCACTTCCTTTACCAAAATGCCGTATACCAAACATCATCTTCCGAGCAACATTCCCGCTGTATTGTCGTGCCACAAGCCTTAAATCAATAACCGCAAGACCATTACCATTACCACGGTTTTTGACACAGCGGTTATTGATGTACCGGACTAAGTTATCCGCCTCTTCGGTTCTCTTTTCAAGCATCAATTTGAAGCTCTTCTTGCTTGTCACGTGAGATGCCACCACTCTCCTCATCTTTTTCCACTGCTCTCCTTGTGGCTGCACCGCAATGGTCAAGTACCCGCGGCTGCAGTACTCCGTCCCCATTGTTAGCGGTCTAGTGGCGAAAACGGAGTCTTGCTTCTTCAGAATCTCCCTTGCAATTCTCGGGGATGTCACGGGGATCACGTGAGTATTCGCAAGACGGATACATGCAATATCGGTGTTGAGTTCTTCCATCAATGAATGTATCCACCGGAACACCGGTTTGTTCCTCCCTAGTATTTCTGGTAGGTTTCCAACTAAAGGCCAAGATTTTGGCCCCGGAGGAAGAGAGAGGTTTCTCGTGTGGCTAGTCATTAACATGGTTTTCTTCGTCTCTTTACGCTTCATTGTTAATGATAGGAGAAGCAAACCTAGGATAAACGCAAGCATTGAGGTAGAGTCGTCGAACATTTTTTAATCTCAATTTGTAGAAATTATTTGAATTCTGTTGAAACAATGAGGAATAAGCTATTTATAGCCATGAAACGGCAATGGAACAATGCTTGTGTCTAACTGTAATCTGTTGAAAATAAATGTGCTTTAAATGTTGGAAAGAAAAATAAGTTGCAAAAGGATTCTCGAGGTATGGCCTCTTATGATTGGGTGGTGGAGAACATATAAGTTGCAAAGGCTTCTCATCATCAAGAACGTGGTCTGTTCTAAGACCAAGAGCTGATTTGGTAGACTCGTCAGATTCGGTTTGGTTTAATGTAAAGCGGCCACGCCTAAACATACTTTTAACATGTGGATAGCAAACCTGGACCGTTTGCCTACCATCAAGACTTGTTGGCTGCGGAGAGCAGCTCCAAACGACTTGTGGTCTCTGTTCTTTGTATTCAGAAACAAGGGATCACTTGTTGTTGTCATGTGATGTTGCTCTCTACTTTTGAAATGATGTGTGAGTACGAGACTAAGCTAATTAACCTCCTTTCACGCTTGTCAGTCTAGAGTTACTTTCTTTGTAGCTTAGACAAATATTGAATAAAATAAAAAACTATTGTACTTTTTCTTTTTTTTGGAGCAACTATGATACTACAGTAGTAATACTAATTAAATAGTTGACCAAAAAAAAAGTTAAATAAAGATAATTAAACTAATTTTCTGTATATTGTGATTTTAAGAAGATCCAGTTCGACTCAACATGAAATATTTTAATGTTAAATGTCAAAATAAGAAGAAAAAAACATATAATCATTTACACAGTTTTACAGAGTTTAAACACTGATGCTTAAACACTATTTTAATTACATAGAACGTTATAATATTTTTCCATAAAACTAAGATTTCGGTTATTTCCTACTCAGACCAACTATAAATATATTTTTAAAATAGTTAAAAATGTTATTGTACTAGTCTTTTAAACAAATATTTAAGAAATGTTATTTTTATCCATTAGTGCTCTTCATCAAAATAATGTTTTGAGCCCAAATTTAGTCGTTTATAATCATTTACACAAATTTATGGATTGATATCGGAAATTTTTTTTGTTAACAAATAATTTTAAAACACACCGTTTTGAACAATACTACTTACTGGACAGTTTTTGATTTAAGAACTTTTAATGTAGAGGGATTTGTAAAATTTCTTTTTGTTAAAGTAGTTTTGGTAAGATAACCTTTTGAACGGTGAATGTTGAACCACAAAACCGCAGGGTTCAGGGCAAGTGTGTTCCCTAAGCGGTAT